GCACTGAGCATTTGGGAAACAAAACCTCTTCCAAAACACACGGCCCAGCTTTCGTTCTGCCCCTTTCTCCCCCATCCCTCTCATGCATTATATACTCACTCTCTTCCGATGAGGACTAATTTCCAGCTTCATTACCGCACATTTGTTCAAAGTATTTAGACGCCTACAGAGCAAAGGAATAACATTAGCAAAGTACGGAACCACTGCTGGATGGATAAATATTTTTTTCCAAACAGCTGACACGTTTAATGAGTTTCTCGGAATCCATTAACATAGGTAATTGAGAAGAGTATTAGAAACCTCTTTAAAACATGAATAGCTTAAAAATATCTTTATATTTCTTAAGTTTTTTCAATTAATTTAGTATAACTATTTTATAGTAACATGACACATGGCCCTGGCACGGCCAGGTGCCTGTTCTTCAGAGAACAAACAACTCCCAGTGCGGACATGTCTTGTGCCAACAGTCCTAGGATAAGCCGCTAGGTAACTGCGCACAGTACCAAGAAATAAAAGCTGGTGACCTCTCCTTTCACAGAAAAAGAAACAGCGACAAGGAGCCAGAGTGGTTGGTGAAATACACTGTATTTGATCTCAAATCACAATTCAAATACCAAAAGAAAACAAATTTTAGTTGTCTCCTACAAATAATACACAGCCTTCTAAAAAACTGAGGTTGTTCTTGTACAGAAAGGAAATTAAGAGCTTTAATACACAGTTCTTTTTACAACTTTCTGTACAGGACAGAATAATGTTTGGTAAAGTCACAGCAGTAATGCAAATGAACGTTTTAAAAAAGTGTATACTGTAGCTCCAAGGGTCGAGATCTTTAGGCTTCAAACACAAGCATGAAAATCAGATTCTATTTTGGAACAGGAGTCAAATTTTCACTCCCCTGCCCCACCCCTGTGAAAAAGTAATGTGAATTTTAAATCAGGGAAATAATTTAGTTTTGTTGAACATGAAATACTTAAAAAAACAAAAACAGAAAAACAATCTCTCTGGGAAATAAATAACTGAAAAAAGAAACCCTTTATACATGCAGGAATATATATAAAAATATACAAAAGTGGGAATTGATAGCCCTTCAGGCCCTGGGTCTTTCTAACATCTTCTAAGTGATTATCTCTCAGTCTTCTGCTAGTGAACCTTTAGCGTATCTACTGTCTTCCGCCATCGGTGTTCTGGTTTTTCCTGTAAGTGTAATTCTTCCTTTCTGATAGGATAAGCACATTTAATTCACACAAATTCAAACTGACGGTGAGACCTCCTCCAGGCTTTATCTTTCTGATCCTGTTTCTTGCGACTTGTCTATCAACTCTGATGCATAGGGATAGAAAGTATTTTTGCCTGTTGATAAGCCTGCCTTTGATTTCATAGATTATGTGGTAGCCTGTTTATAGAATAAACAAAGATAACCCAGAGCGCCTATGTTCAGGAAAATTCTCCCTGTGGATGGGGTGGGGAAGAAAACAAATAACTAAGAAAAAGTTCAGACTTTAAAATGAGTGGGTGTCAGTCCCCCTCTGAGAGGCATACTTGAGTCATTACTTTAATGACTTATACCCACAGTGTTTTAGTTCTCAAATCTTCTCAATATTCAAAGACTGTTAGTCTTAGGTCTGGGTTTCATGAATCAAACCTGTAATCAAATACCCACTGGGCTTCATTTGGGCTGTAATGGTTGAATGGTGTTTATAACCAAGTTTACTAGGCAGGAGGCCTACGGAGGAGGGGGAGGGGCTTACCTTACAGACTCTAGATTTGAGTCAAACACAAAAGACCCAGGAGACCAGTTTTATGAAGATCAGTGTTATCTTTTTATGTCGGCAGCACCAAGCTAAAGGCATTTCTATTTTAAAGCCCTAAAGTTGCTCCCTGGGGTTTCCGTGGGACTCATTTGTCCTCAGGACCTCCAAAGCATGCCTGCCAGTGGGACCTTACTCACTTAGAGAGGGACAGTACTGAAATGGAGTAATAAATGGTCCTCGCCAGACCTCACATGTATTATTTCACCGTAGTGTGGCTATTGCTCCCAGCAACCCTATGGTGTAGGGATCACTATTTACCTTTATTTTGTAGATGAAGAAATGGGGGCTTAAAAAGGTCACTGATCCTGTCCAAGCCCACATGAGTAAACCATGGGGGACCTGGTATTCAAACACGAGTATCTTCTGCCCTCTTTCCTAAAATACATGGTAATGATGTAATAAATAGGAGCAGCTAATGTCCTGAGTAAGGCTTGTCCAGTGACAGGCAAAACCCTGGTATCATACGCCATCTGCCCAGAAGCCACAGACATCCCACCCCCCCAGGCCCCTCACAGGGCTCAGCTCCACAGGAGCTTATCTGTGGGCAACTTGTACCCGGCTTAGGTGGGGGACGGAGCCCAAGGGTGGGCCATCAGCAATCCAAGGTTTGCTGCAGGGAGTCAGAGGTGCCCTGTTAAACGCAAAGTGGGCAGGCCTCTGGGCCTATATTCAAGATGAAAACAGGGAAGAAGTATGAGGGGGTGACGAGAAAAAGGAACAATTTCCAAGTAAGTCAAAAACTGTCTCAATTCTAATGATATTTTCTTGAAATTAGTTCAATTGCTTTAAAACATCACTTGCTTCCCTTTTACTAGAACAGACATAGTAACAAAGCCGAAATCTTACTATATACTGTAGGTGCTTGACATGGCTTAGACATTTCACGGGCTGTCTGACAATAGGCGTAGACTGGAAAGGATAGCATGGATACATATTTATCACTATACGATTATCACCTTATTTATGTAATACTTTGGTGTGTTTATAGGGAGAGTCAGTTGTAATCCCAAAGGAAAACAGCAACACAGAATATTTTTCAGAAGCTACAGGGAGACCAAGAACATTTTAGAAGAGGCATTCTATCTGCAGATGAGGTCACAGTTGGCAGTATTATCTGTATATCCTTCAAGACAAGCAGATCACTCCTGCAGCATTAATACTGAATGTGACTATCATCTTGGCCTTCTCGTCAGGGCTGGATTACATAGCAAAGCCAGCAAGACTGGGACAAAAGCCAACCTCTCCAAGGAAACGAATACATAAACCCCTTATGAATGTGCGTGTAGGAATGTTGGTTAGCAATCCGAATCCCAAAAACCTGGTAGTCCCATAATTGTAACTTTGGGTCATTACCAAACCTCCTGTTTAAGATAGCAGCATGACCATTCCCAAGGGAACATTAGCCCTAGAAGTCTCCCGCCTCAAGCAGACTATGTTCAAAGATTTGTTCCTACCCGATTTCTGACCGAAGGAGCTATAAGTAAGATCTGCAAAGGTTATAGGTATACGAACATTTAATAAATCTTCAAGCAGAACACTAGTGTGTACATGGGGGTATCTGTAACATCTGTGTGTGTGTTTGGGGAGGGGGGGCACAGGGAGGAAAGAGCAACCATGTAAGAATTATTTTATTTAAAATAAATTCATTAAAGTTTTATTTTTAGTAAAAATATTAAGTATTTAATAATACTTCACTGAAGTGAAAGTCCTTTCAACTGAGTTTTTGTAACTATATTATCATATATATATTTAAAATCAGCTGCTTAAAATATTTCAACAGAACAAAAGACGGAATTCTACAAGAAGTCTGTCAGTCTGGAGAGAATCTGACAAATCACAAGGCAAGATTTCAAACAACATTTCAGCTTCATGATTTCCTGGCCCTTCCTGGGAAGAGGCCAGACAAGCAGATGAGAGGAACATCCCATAATCAGTAAACCACACAGCCCCAGCTACTCTGCTGACAGTCCGGGGCCCATAGAGCATTTCAAAGGAAGATGCTTCCAATATACTGTAGATGCCCCCATCTTTTCCTTCAGGAATTTGTTTGGGCCTCTCAAAAGGAGAATCATTTGCCATGAGAACTGGATATGAAGATGTGGATGATGTGGACAAGAACCTTCGGGTTTCCTGTGACCACTGAGTTGATAACCATTAGTGTGATTTCAGAAGAATTTCTCTTTTGAAAAGAAAACGCACTCGAAGCCTTTCTTCACATACGCCAATCTGGGAGTCACATTTGGGCCTCATAATTTTTAAAGCACACTGACGTCTAACCCCTGCGTTTCCTGCTCCGACCGCACCTGTGAGATGTCATTCTGTGCTTCAGAGAGCATTGAAGCTCAGTGAGCAAACACTGCAGGGTCCACACACAGATCACGGTCTAGTTGTTCCTGAGGCTTTTGTTTTTCACAAAAGATTCAAGAGCACACATTTATTACCTTTAAAGGGAGGTAGCTTCTCAAACTAAGTTTTGAACTGATATTATTAAAAAAACCAAAGTGTTCAAGAATCTAATAATGACCTCCTGGGCTGCAGTGTTGCAGTGATGTTCCTATGACCCAGGAATTCCTAAGCTGTAGCTGCTGTCCCGACAGCCCACTCACTAAGTGGCTTAAGATGTGTGAAATGGATCATCTGAGGCAATGCATCAAAAGTTCCTAGGACACATCTTATGAGTGAGCTCATTTATATGCATTATCACCAGAGAAGGATTGAAAAATAAATTAATTCTGCAATGCAGTTAAGCATTCAAGCATTTAAAAAATGTCTAGAGCAGTTTATATCCCAGATGCTGACTTCTTCCCTTCCTAAACTGCATTCGTGACATTTTTTCACTCCAGATGACATAGTTATGATATTACGCATGCAGTGAGGGGCTTGGAATTAGGTTTCTTTTCAGAAAACGTGGACATACCCTGGGCATGTCTAAGCAGCCATTTAAGTGGGTTTGAAAAGTGACAGTGTTTCTGTGGCTAATATGGCTTTTATTTCTCCTTACACCACGCGAACTCATCTATTTCAGACTCCATTCTAAACATCCTACGTACCTTTCCCTACAACTATTACTTAACTTAGTTGATTCAAAAAAACACTGTAGTCCATAAGAAAGGCAAAAAAGCAGTACTTTCACAGAGCTACCACTGTTTTCTTTGTCTAAAACTGTGTCGTTCTACCTTAACGATGTTTTTCCAAGTTACAATAAATGCTGAAATTAAAATGAAATTTATTTCAACTTTGCAATTAAATCAACATATGAATGTTGTTTCTGTATACTTTTCCCCCCAGCATGTAGCCTTTATGGCTTACAGGTGTTGAGAGAAATTACAATGGATGAATAACTTAAAGATGAATAAAATGTCATGAAGAATTTGGAAGGATTATCAGTGTTCCATTACTGTCTGCCACATGTTTTATTATTTTTGCTTCACAAAAAACCTACCAGCTACTCCTAAGCCCAAAGACCTACTAGCACAGTGAACAAGAAATTCTGACAGTTTATTCACATGCCACACCAATGCTCATTTACCGCATGTCCACGGTATGTTAGTGGCTGTGCTGAGTTATTTTATAACCTTATTTAAGCATACTGTTACTATTTTGTACCTGGAGAAGTGAAGAGGTTGAGAGAAACTTTTCTGAGTTCAAACAATGGTCTCCTGACTCCAGAATGCTGGGACTCCTCTGCACCCCACTTAGTCCTCCGAACGTGTCGTTTGCATTTAATGGAACAGCAGCTTTGACTCTGTTAGGGGACCTGGCTAGGGCTGTGCAATTACAACGTCTTTAAAAATAAAAACCCGGTTCCAAGTTCCCAAACCATCTGAATGTTATCTGTTTCACAGGCATATGGCATAAAATACAGAATGTTACTCCTTGAGTACCTCCTAGGACAGTGCTATTTTAATGGCAATACTAAATATCAGGATTTTACCTTTTTTAATTAAAAGGCTTAAATCACTATGCCCATTTGTTAACAAAGACCTGACATAATTAGTTTGAACAAAAGTAAATAAAACCATCTTGGTGATAAGTACTGTTCTCTTAAAAAAGGACAGAGAAAAAAAAAGAAAACACTCAAAATATTTCCACTTACCTGCATAAGGCCTCAATGGCATCTCTGTCCAAAAAATCATGTTCTCTCTTGACCAAAGAAATATCAATGGGGAACAGGAGATCTATAAGAAAAATAAGAACAATGACATTTATTGAGTACCTAAGTTTTTTTGGTCGATCTAGCCTAGTTTAGCAGAGGGAAACAAAGTAATGTGTTGAATACCTACTGTGTGCAGGACACCTCATTCCCTATCAAGTGCTACGGGAGAATGAAGTAGCTGAAGACAATTCCATTGGAGTCTTAAAGGAACTTAGATTTAAAGTAGTCTGCAGACTCAAATATTTGTTCCTGTCAAAGATAAGTGGTTCAAAACACCGTTCTACCTTTAAACAAAGTAATAGACCTCTGCTATAAATTATAATTTAAACATGAATGAATATCAGAAGGTGCTCCCTTTTAATGTGACTGGTTTTTCCCCCCTCCCGTGCATGTCTTTGCCTACATTTAATCAGAGAAGAAGGTCATGGAAAACTGGGCGAGGAAAGATCCACAGAACAATGCCAAGTGGTAGTGAAGAGAATCTAACCGTCTGCATGACATGAAGTGCTGAAGAGAATTCAGGATACATTATTTTAAAACAAATATTAGCACTTGCATATGGCTTTTCAGGAGTTTATATAACTCCCCCTAGCACAAAAGGCCAGCTATCAAGCCACTGTGGAACAATAGAATCCCAAATCCCCTATCAGTAGAAGAGGTCAAGACTCTTAGAACACTTAAGAGTTATATCAGAACAGAGAAGAGGTGGGTGGGGAAAGTCAATTCACTGGAAGAATTCCCTTTTCTATCTATTGTTGATAAATACATCCAAGAAGAGTAGGGAGGCGGGCAGCCAGCGCTACCACTGTGGAGGTTTACAGCAGCTCTGGAATGGCCACCAGATAAAGCAAGTTGTTCCCCTTTGGAGTTCCAGCTATTAGGGTAAATAATGGACCTTTTCACAGAATACTTATATGAGTAAGAGTCCTTCCGTGCAACTCTGTGGGTCATGAATGGGTGAGATAAAACAGCACAGAAGGAAACGAATGTTACCATAACCAAAACAAACAAACAAAAAGACATCTCTTTGGCTTTTGAATTGGCTAACATTGCATCCTGGAAGAGACAGTAGTTATTGGTAGTTCTGGAAATCTGAGTAATTAGTAATGCTCTGGTTCTCTGGTTGACAAGGGAGTACATGGATGTTTGTTCTTATTTTTTAGTAGTAATCTATTTCTAGAGATAATACTTATGAGCACTTTTTTTTTTACAGTGTTGAAAACTAACATGAGCATTGTAGTCTGTTCATTTTTCTGAAGACCAGAGGTAGGTTACTGATACTGTTCCCTGAAGGAGAACACAGGCAGACCAGTAAAGTAGCAGCAACCCAAGGATTTATGAAGAAATACAGGAAATTCAGTACTGCGGGATCACATCTCTTTATCAAGTTATAGACCAGTTTCCTAGGCAAATGATTAGTGGAAATCCATTAGTGCAGATGAGAGGCTTAAGGTGAACGTAGACTATTAATACAAACAAGGCAAGCTGTAAGGCTGTTTGAAGGTGGTGGCGCTGTATTTCACTGTAACAGACATCAAGAACTCCAAGTATTCAGTAATAGAGTTGACCATTTTCTCATACTTGCCTAGACTCTTTCTGAAGGGACTGGCTTTTAAAAGATGATGGTTTATTGATGTATAGAAGTTCTCAGCATTCTTCAGGATAGGATTTAAATTTCCAGCTTGTGTTTAAGGGCAGGAAGTATAAACTGCCAGGGACCAAAATAATACTAAACAGGAAGACAAGGAAATGTGTGGGTTGGTGTGGTGTGTACGCTCACACTGCACGGAGTGGCGGATGAAAGGGGGGAAATCATAGCCAGAACAATATACAGCATACCTCAAAAGCAGGCTTACGCTTTGAAATACTTAATAAATGTGAAGAGATCCTCAAACATGATGTATGAAAATGCAACCTGCATTTTAGGATTTGGAAAGAAGTAAGACAGAGACAGGAACTGGCTCTAAGCAAACATAGCATCCCAAGAAAGGGCTGCTTGGCAGCAAGCGAACACCAAAAATGGACATAATTGAAGGAAACTTAATTCCTAAACAGGAGAACAAAGGGAACAAAAGAACAGCCATGTTACTGCCACTGCAAAAGCAATTATCTCTCCCCATCTCCAGGAGAGCTGTAAATTGAAAATTCAACAGAATGCTGGTCTCTCATCTCCTGCCTCCTGCCCCCACCACAGTCCTACTGAAAGACAGAGATACACTAAATGTTAATAGGTCAAAATTCTCTCCTTAGAGAAGATAAGCAACTCTACCATAGTAAGTATGCAAATTAACCAAATGCCTGTAAAAAAAAAAAAAAGAAAGAAAAAGGAACTGGAGATGTTCTCTGAAATGGAAGAATAGTAAAATATTTTTCATAGTCTACCAATAAAGTAATTCTGAATCCATCTTCATGGGAAAATATCACAACAGTCAATCTGGGCTGCAATAAGGAAGATCAGATATAGTAAAGGAGGTAATGAATTAATTAAGCTCAGTGACCTAGGGAAATTAAAAGACCTCTATGATTTCTGGGGAGCCCAGTTTGCTTTGGGGCGTATCCCCCCATTGGCTTCATATCCTTCAAGGCTACCTGCTGGTCACGTCTAGCACCTCCAGGCTTACATATGTAAACATTCTTAGCATGGGCTCATGAGATTTCACTCACGTTTTATAAGGTTGGTAATGACCTCTAGCTACAACAGAGAGCCTAGTGCCATTGCTTCAGGACACAGTCTGATGGTCATTATCCTAGAAGGACCGAAGAGTAAAAGACATGTCTTAAAATCTTTATTTGCTGTGAAAAATGTTGAACATCCATGGTAAAAATATTTAAGTGCTATCATTTCAACTGGATCTTCTAGAGATTTAGTCATATGGTGGCTAGCCATCTCTTAGCATCTCCTTTCTTCTTAAGTGATGAAAAGATGTATTTTTAAAATGTACATCAACCAAAATTATGCTTGCTTTTCAGATTTTGGCAATCCCTTAAAGGTCTTCTTTGAGGTTTGAACTAGGTTTTATTTTATAAACTATGAAGTGGCTACTATACTGTGGGGCGTCCTGTTGGTACAGATTTAACAGTGGCTTGTTTTGAATTGGATGGATGAATGAATGAATTAGTGAGAGACACCATGTAGAGCCCACATCTCAGTAGAGTTGAAGAAAGAAAAAATGCTCAGGTGTGAGGAAGCCCTGGAAGTAATTTAGTTTATCCAAATTTAGGAATCACTTCACTATTCACCCAACCTTTGCTTGAAAAAATTACCCATAAAATGGAGTTCACTGGCTCATAACTGTAACTTTTTTATAAATGATTTCAGGTGGCATATAATGAAACTCCTGTGTAAACAAACAGCCTGTTCATCTCACGGTGCACGGCCAAGCCCGACCCACACCCAGCCAAGGCACAGAGAAGGAGCAAGACCCCAGGAGCTCTTCATCTTTGGCCTTGGCATCCAAGCGGATCCTGGGGCACTGATGATAAATGATGGAGTAAAAATTCAGCCTGGATCTTGATTTTTTTAAAAAGGTCCATTTTCCTTAACTAAAAAATTGTTTGCCACAGAAAACATAATATTCATCAAATGACAACCTAAACAAAGTGGGAAGCCTAATTACAAACCCAAAGAAGGTATCTGTAACGCATGCCAACAAGGGCTTCGTACTTAGAATAAAGAGCTCTTACAGATCATTATGAAAAGCACTGTCAACTCAGGAGAAAAATGGGCATGAGACATGTCACAGAAGGGCAAACACATATGGCCAGATGATAGGAAGAAACGTGCATTATCATTAATGATTAGGGAAATGGAACAGCAGTGAAAGTGGGTGAACTACAAGGACACACAGTGTAGAAGAATCTTAGTAACATAACCAGTGAAAAAGTAAAATCATACAAGACTACATAGGGCATAATACCTTTTCACATAAAGGTAAAAACAGTTTTATAAAAATACGTATTTTAGGACAATGCAATAAAACTATAGACTGGAAAAGCAAGGAAATGATAAGCAGAGGTTTCAGGATGACAATTACTTTGGGCAGGGGTGACAGAGGGCACCGAATGTGAGAGCTCGTGGGTGCACTGTCATCAAGGTCCTGGCCTTGGTTCTGGTGGGGGGTCTCAGCACCTTGCTATGCTGCTTCTTTAATGAGATATTCAGATAAATAATAAAATGTCTGAAAATGAATCATAGATCAATAATATCATGAGCCAAGGATATAATTAATTATGCCATCTAATCTACCAACCAATCGAATGGCCTTCTAGGCTCACCTTCGTAAAGCTGTGCGTACTGAGGGAAACCTGTTGCCCGTAGCCAATCGCAAGCTTCTTTGGCTTCAATTTCTAGAACAGACCAGAAGAAAGACAGGAGTGTTAGTAATATGTACCTCAGCATGTTTCTTCTTTTGTAATAAACCCTGGTTTTGTTATACAGGGAAAGCATGATGTCTGTCGAAAACAGGTAAGTCAGAAAAACAAAACAAAACTAAAAAGCTCTAAAAAACCCCACTTAACCCAAATGCTTTAAAGTGGTGTGCACTTTTCCTGCCTTTTAAAAATGCAAATAATTATCCACGTTTCCTTTAGAGGACAAAACAAACAAGGGGTCCCAGCAGTAAGTTACTCTGTCTTCTGGTTCTGGTTACAAGTTATTACGAAAACAGGGTATAATGAGAAAGCTGAAGAGGGATTAAATAATTAATTTTAAGCCTGGATGGTCTAACTTGGTTTACTTTTCACATCAATAAAAGGCCATGAAGTACATCTGCCCCCATGGAGGAGAACTAACCTGACCCACGGAACAGGCCCCCTGCCACTCAGGAATGCGGGAAAAAGCCCCAGGGCCTGAGACCCTGGGCCCTTAGGTGCACCCAGCAGCGGAGAGGCCAGGCTGTCAGGTGACCTGGAGGGCATTAAGTCAATAAAGCCCACAATCTTGGCAGGCTGAAACGCCTGATAAAGCTCTACTTCCCTGTGGTTAACATTTTGTAGATGGTATTGATAAACAGAAAGGCCAAGGGCAACTGGACTCACTGTGTTCAAACTCACTCAAGCACATATTTACAATCCCGTTAAAACTGCCTCCCAGAGGAGGTGGGGCCCATTCATTACTTTCTCTGTTTGCCCAAAGAATATCCTTTCAACTGTCTTCCCACCTCCCTCAGGCTCTTAGAGTACTGAGGCAGGTAAGGCTATTCACTCATTTACAAATGTCTCAAGATTGCCTAATTTATTCCAGATTAAAACCTTCCTTAAACATCTCTCCTCTGAGCCAGACGGGAGGCAGATAATCCACAATGTAAGTATACATATCTTACTTTTGTCTAGTAACTTTATGGTATCAATGCTTTTTTTTTTTTTGTACCTATTAGTTCATGAGTTTCTTGGCCTTGGAGAAAAGGTGGTTAAGAACACAAACTCATTAAAGCAAGTGGGTATGTCCTTATGCAGTGTGCCAAAGAGAAAACAGCGTGCTATCTCCCCAGGAGCCCGTTAATACCCCCACTAATGAGAGCGCAAATAAACAGCATGGCGAAGTTTATTTCCATGAATTTTTTTCAGTGTCACAATACAAGTAGCCCTATTAAATAGAAGTATACAAGGTGCAGGACTGAATTCAGGGCTGAAAGATCAAGTTGACATCAATGTGTAGAATCTCAATGTTAGCACTGAATAAAAGAATATGTAGAATTGTCCAATGTGAATTATTTGTGTTTAACCTTTTTTCATGTAGTTATATTCAAACCTTGTCTCAGAAAGGAACTAAGGAAACTAAATAAAATCATAAAAGAAACATTATTAGAGAAAAAAATATCTAAAAGCTCAACATGTTAAAGAACTATTTTTCTTCTAAGCTCTGTGGCCCCTGCTCAAAGAGAGATAGGGAAAGAAAAAGGCTGTGTGTTTTCAAAAAATATTATAAACAACTCACTTCTGTCTATTTAGAGGTTATTTCCACTGAACAGACTGTTAGACAATGAAAAGCAGATTGTTAAAAGCACATGTGCCTGCTTTCCTAGTATCTCACTTAACAAGTGGTGACTAACTAACTACTCACAGTCCACCCTTTTTGGACACCTTTTTTTGACCCCATTCAGACATAACAGGTCAGCACAGGCACAAAAGCTGCAATCAGAGACACCTCACTAGCCAGGGCCACCTTTTTACAGCATGTTCCAGATTTTCTTATTGCCATGGCTTCATGCCAGGAGGCACAAAGGTGGTAGGGTATCATTTTTTGAAAAAAAACCTTTACATTTATTTACAAAATACAAAGGGTGGTCACATACATTACCCACTTAAGGCCACATGGGACTTCACGGACACTCAAATGCCTGCTTTTGTCACTCTCTTACTCACTTTCCACCACTAAGAAAGTGAAATGCCCCCAAATGACCAAAAGTTGATCTAAGAAGCTGTGACCCAGCAGTCACTCTTCTTAGGGCCACTTGGTTGGAAAGAAATGACATAAGCATGTGAAGTCTTGCTTCATCAGCAGGTAATTTACTTAAAGGTTTACTGGCTCCAAAGCTCTACCTAAGGACTGCAGAGATCCAGTAATTTACCCTTCCTCTCCCTTACCCTAAAATAGATGAGGATTACTTTCATTTAGGAATGAAACCATGGGAAACAGACAAGCCTGTATCTATTTTACATTTAAAAATGCCCACTCATGGAAACTTAGGTTCACAAAAACTGATGTTTCTGTAGAAATTAGAAAATTGCAAAACCTTTAAAAAAGTCGTTGGTCACTGATTTTTTAATAAATGGAATAGTTACTGATTTCATTCCCACCCCTTTCTAATCACCAAGAGAAAATGGTAACAATGTGACAGAGGTACTGGTTTAAAAAAATCAGTATTTCCATTTTCTTTAATATGAAATGCACCTGAGAACCTACATCTACAACCAAGTCCTGGTGGGAATCCCCTTTCTAGTTTCATCCCCTGGTCCAAGCCACTCCTTCCACCCTTAACCTCTTACTTCTGAGCTAACACTCTGCGTCTCCTATTTTCTCCTTCCTCAGAATCCATCTGCCACCTGCTCATCAATCTTCCAGAGTTACAGTTGAGATCTTGTCTCTGCCTCTCCAATTCCACTGGTGTTCTGCTGCTTAGAAAATCAAGTCTGAACACTTCTGCATGGTTTCTAAGGCCTTCATGTGGCACCAACCTCCCATTCCAGCTCCCTGTATGCCTGCTATGTCCCAGCCAAAGTAAACTTGCTGCTCATCTCCCCATGTAGATGGCCATGACTTTGCTAGCCTGAAATGCTCCCCCATCCTCTCACTTTTGAATTTCACTCATCCTTTAAGTCCTAGCACCATGCCACCTCCGCTAGGCAGTCTTCCCTGATGCCTCCCAACAATCCTATCCACAACTTCCGTTCATTGTGTGTGCCACATGTGTAAGCTCTGTCTAAGCTCTTACTGCCTTTCAGTTCACTTATTCCCTATACCAATCCTGGAACATGGACTACTAATATCATTCCCAAGATACACAAATAAGGAAACATGCAGAGAAATAACCACTTCTCTTGAAAAATGAGCCTTCTTTACATTCAAATGTCACAGGAAGGTGAGAGAGAAAACTAAGACTCATGGCGATGAGCAAGGTAGGTTCTTCCCTTAAAATAAGTATGTAACAATGGACATTTAAAATATTAAAGAACACCATGTACACAGGGCAATACTCCAGTCACTGCCTGCCCATGACCATTTTTGGAGGCCTCTCACTGGCTCAGGGGTACGACTTTTCCTTCAGTGTAGGTGAGGGGTAACGTGAAAACTGGGAGCACAGTTGTCAAAAAACAGTCCCCACTGGGCAAAAAATGCCATCAGAAACTAAAAATACAATGGAAATACAATGACACCTTTTATACTTGGGTTTTCTCTAAGCAAACAACAGACATATGTATTAAGGAGGAAACAGGAAATTTTTATTGGAAAGAGCTGTAAGGGTTGGTGGTAGTAGATGAATGAGGTCCAGGAGACCCTTTGTGTCTGGCTGGGAACCATTAGGCCATATCTGCATGTTTCCTGGCACGAAGTGATGACTCCTATCTTCCCCTTTCCCCTCAAGAGGGAGTTAAGCAGAAATTCCCCATCAAGTCACATTCTGTTGAACTTGCTGATCTTAGCTGGTTGAGCAAGAGTAATTTGGGTGAAAGCCGGAGGTGGTGACTTCCGCCTTCTGTTTGCACTGTGTGCACACTGGAAACCCTCAGGTTCCCTGTCTTCTGGGATAACATGCTACCCAAAGCAGGACTCGGATGGATGCTACAGCTACACGGAATTACCTCTTAAATAGAATTCTAAGGAAAGGGAGCCATGTAAGAAAATTCAAGCCATCTTCTAGATTCCTTGGATTCCCACAAACACGACAGCCTTGTGGCCAAAGATTCATGGAACTGTTGATGGTTTTACAGCCACCGAGAGGCACGCTAGCTGTGTGAAAGGCAGGCAGTCTTTCTGATCCAAATCAAGATTCATTCCCCTTCCCTGAACACTCAGATTCCTTCACAAGCAAGAAGATCCTCTTGGGTTCTCCTGCCTCCATCAAGGTGGCCAATTTTACAGGACTGTGGGCAGCTGGCCACCAACAGCCCATCTTTACCTGGCAGGTGGGTTTCACAGGGCAGCCACTGGAGAAGCAAACCCGAGCCTTAAAAGCTTGATCTCAGCAGGCTCTCAGCCCTGATGCAGGGAGGGGAGTTTTCTAAAACCATCAACACCACCCACTCCCAAGGACTCTGATTTTTTCAGTCTAGACAGCTTATTTTTAAAGAGGCTTCCCAAGTATATTTAAGGGAAGCCAGGATTGAGAGCCACTGAGCCAGACAACATTCTTCATATCCATTTTCCTGGGCTCTTCCCCGGATGACCCTAACAGCCTCCCAACTGAACTCTGGTTAGTCTTGTCCTCCCCTGAGCCCCTAGATTCATTTTTATAAATCACATCATTCATTAAGTCACTCTTGTGCTTACAATTCTTCAGTGACTCTCTACTGCCCTTCAGACATGATCCAAACTCTTCAGCAGACCCATATATTTAAGGAAAAGAAAGAATTCACTAATATTTTTCTTTTTTAAAAAACAAACTAAGCACAATGACTTGATCCCTTTCTCTCTACAATTAATAAAAATAAGTGTTAAACCCACACAACTGCTGAAGACTGGTTGCCAGGAGTTACCTATGTAAAATGACGATTCCTAATTGGGCTCAGTCAGATAGCAGAAGGTATATATTGGTATTTATTAAGCTCTTATGTTATCTGTTCATAGCAAAGATTTTGACTAGCAACATTCATTCCTTCAGGTGCTTAAAAAAATTCTAAACATCTGC